GACCAATGTTCTGACAGTGCGGTAATTTGTATGCAAAACATACAACGCAGATAAGAATGAGTGTGCCAAAGAGGCGGTGACGCAAGAGTGAGTATACGAGGAGATAGTGAGTGTGTCAAGGAATAGTGACTCAGAAGGGTGAGTGTGAGGAGTAGTGACTCGAGGGGTGAGTGTGTCAGGGAGGCAGTGACTCGAGGGTGAGTTTGTCGGGAAGGCAGTGACTTGTGGTGAGTGTGTCGTGGAGGCATTGACCCGGAGGGTGGGTGTGCAGTGGAGGCAATGACCCGGAGAAAAATCTATGGCAGTCCGTTGTAATGTCGTAAGAAGAGAAGGTGAAGTAATTCTCACTGGGGAGAACTGCACACCGGGTATGCTTGATGCACAAGCTTCTCCCGAATCGGACATGTGGATGTCCAGAATGAGTGTGTGGATAGTGACTCAAGCAAACTTAACATGCACGTCATGATCATGTAAGATGTCATGCAAAGCAAACATGTGAGGGGATGCTAGTGTGAGTGAAAACATTAGTGACGTGGGGCACCGTGATGTGAAGGTGTCACGGAGCAAGTTTGTCAAGTGATTATACCTGTGGGAGGCACGAACGCCCGTTAAGAGGGAATGAGGACATATGCTCATAAATGTATGACAAAGTGCAAGTGTGAACATGTTAATGCAGGCAATGTGAACCAAATATGTGATGATGCAACATTCTACATAAACAGTTGGTCGAACTGATCGGGTTGTTAGGGCCGAGGGTACGAGCTGACGAAAGATATCGATTGATCCGATCGGGCCGGTGCGGCCGACCAAATGAGTCAACATATGATTGTCAATTGTGCAGATCGGGCTGGTGGGGTTGATCAAGTGAACCGACAGAATATATCAGTCGATCCGATCGGGCCGGTACGACCGATTGAACGAGTCCACAAAAGATTTTTCTGTCTCGTCGATCGGACCTGTGGGGCTGATCGGGCGAGCCAAAGGAACATATCGATTGATCTGAACAGGCTGGTGCAGCCCATCAGTTGAGTCAACAAAAGATTGTCGGTCACGCCAATTGGGTCGGTAGGCCCGATCAAGCGAGTCGACGGAACATATGAATCGATCCAATCAGACCTGTGCGACCGATCTAACGAGTCGATGGAACATATCAATTGGATATCGATCTGATTGGGCCGGTGTGACTTATCGGATGAGTTGACAAAAGATTGTCAGTCGCGCCGATCAGGCATGCTGATGGAATAACATGCAAAAATAGATAGTTTATGCATATTTTAGAAGTCATGTCACACACGCAATGTGAATACATGCAAGTAATGAGATATGATCGTTTTTTGCTATAAAGTTGGCTTGTCTTAACGATATCACAGGCCACCTTAAGTGTAGTTGATGGAGTGAAGTGCGCGTCGCCACAAAGCGACAGACTGCTGCCTTTGTTTGCCCAACACGAAGAAATTCCATGGGGAAAGTCTTCATAGTGTAGGGTACATCAAAGTCATGGGACTTTTCGTTCTCTACGCCTAAATGACGGATTTTGTTCCCCTCCGTCGTGGGAATGGAATCGCCGGCACAAATGCGGGGTTCCAACAACCCTAGGCTTTGGTATTTCGTGCCAGAAATGAAAAAAAATGATAGGTTGTGCTTGTAGGATTTGTCGCCAGGGGGAGGGGGGAGCACAAAGCTCCTAATTCTGACGTTTGTTCCGAAAGAAGCTTTCCTAATGGTAGGAGAGATGACGAAGTTGGGTTCCTTTTCCCAAGAGGTGAAGAAGCTCTTCTCGCCTGAAAGACCGCAAAGTTCATCGGAGCTCTCCTTGTCCAACGTAGGATGCACTCTCCTTGCTGGAGAGACCGTGAGCTCGTCAGAGTCCTTCTTCCCTCAAGCTAGGACGAAACTCTCCTAGCCGTGCTTTCTGGAAAGTTTGTCGGAGAAGGAAGAAGTCATTGGAGAAGAAGAAGAAAGATGAAGAAGAAGAAGTTGGAAGATGTCAATTCCCTTGGCTTCTCTCCTTGAGGAAGGTGAAGAGCCTTCTTCTCTTACTTCCTCCAAGAAGCTCTCTCCAAGGGGAAGATGAAGCTCCCATTTCTTGCTCCAAGCTCTCAAGTCTCCAAGAGCTCTCTCAAGGCCAGAACAACTGAAAAATGTGTAGTAGTAGATTTGAAATGACGAGGATGATAGATTAAACCGGCCCCCCGCCTTGCCATGATCACTTGGAACCTTCCAAAAGAGGCTTAAAAGAGGTATTATCACCTTCTTTTCCCATCCCGAATGCAAATCCCCTCAAAGCCCTAATAGATCCACCTTTTCAGCTACCTAGGGGGGTGCACCGGGTTCAAAACAACCCCAAAAATGAGATAACCCACTTTTTGGAACGAGACTGGCGCTTACTCTGGGATTGGGAAATGCCCATTTTGGGGTGTTTTTGGCGTCCCAATTTGGCACCAAGGTGCTCGTAGGTTGGCGCCTACTCTCCCAGAGCTCAGTTTGGAGGGCCTGGAGGCGGTTTTGAGCACCTAGGCACCCGGGGCTAGTGCCTAGGCGTTGGTCTGGACCGAGAACCTTGATTTTTGCATAGATCATCCGACGAAGGGTTTCTTCTATCTATAAGCTGCGGGGGGACCAAGTGTGGCTTAAATGTCTTCCTGTAGCTTCTAAAATATGTATTTTTACTGGCCACTTATCAGGGGATTCGTCGCCAACGGTCACCCCGGACCACGACATGGGTAGGGTGTGTTCCAAACCCTAATTTCTCTCAGCGCTCGTAGGAGGTCTCCATGACTTCCCTTGACCACGGGATGTTTTGAATGGGTGCATAGTGATCTCTGATTACCAAAATGGACACCGAACATATCCCAGGTCCTTAATGAATTCACCTAATGGTGGACCCTCCCGGGCCAGGTAGAATCACTGCAAACCTTAGCTTTGTGTCCCGAACATGTGTCAGGAAGTCTCGAACTATAGGATGCTATAAGTGAGCAATGAATCATCTCGAGCCAATTAAGTGGACACCCTACACATGTGACATCAAAAATTGATGCCAATACTATTTTTTTCAATTGATCTGCCTATTCTTATGAGTCTGATCTATATTTTATTGGTACTAAGTAGCTTCTATTTCATTTTAGCTTCAGTATTCTTTCATCTCACATAAAATATAACCATTTAAACTTTTAAAAACTGAAATGGACGTTTTTGAGGCACAGGTAAGGTGGAATATATGTAAAAATTGAGTTTAGTTGGTAGATATGTGAATGGAGGCACAGGTAAGGTGGAATATATGTAAAAATTGAAGTTTAGTTGGTAGATATGTGAATACATGGGAATTGAGTGGTATGTATGTAAATCTTCTTTTATTTATGTTTTAAGTCATGCTTCAAATTTGGAATTTTGTACTGATAAATTATTGATCACCTATACATTATCTGTTCTAAGAATGCATAGGTTTTGAGACAACATACATACCACATTCTTATATATTTTCGTATCTAGCGCCTAAACATTCATATTTATGTGCATACTGCTCAAACCTTTAACACCACATCAAAAATATTTCAATCATTATTTTTTCTTATAGATGTACAATGCTCTATGCATAGATTTATGACACCAAGGTGTAGTAAATGTAAACATCAAACTTTAGGTGTTAGATATACATAATTACATAAGAATTGTCTGGCATGTATGTAAATTTCTATGGAAATTTCCCTGCAATTCTTAGTTTGGCCATCCTCGGCACTGTGCTATAGCTAATTTGTGTTTTGGTGCTATTTCAAAGAGACTCCGAAAGACAACAGCTATGAAGTGGGGAGGAAATTTATTCCACTGAACTGGAGGCTCATAACCAGTGAACTCGTTATAAATGATCCATCTAAATTGCTAATGGAGCCTTATATCACCTCCTTCGAAATGCTGAAAAATCAGGGTATTTATGAGCTGGTTTCAATTCCAATTAAGGCAAATCATTGGGTTCTGCAAGATACCTCGTTCTTTTAGATGTGAAGGTGCTTGGATATCTTAAACCACACAAAAATCTAAAAAAAACCGAGGATAACGTAATCAGGCGTTGGACTAGATGTGATGGCGGAGTCACTGTAACAGCTGCTAGTGTCTTGTTATTAGTTCCATGTCTTCCAACTAATTTTATTTACTGTTGGTGGCGGGGTCACTGTAAGTCCCCTCACGTCAAAGGTTTGATCCCACCGTGGCGTGGGGGCTCTGTAATTTTAGGCACATGGCGTGGGCTCTTATCATGAGACAAAAAAGCACATGGGAAATCAATATTTGATTTTTTCCCAAATATCAATTTCCTTTTTGTGTATATATATCTCCAATTTCTCGAGCCTAGGAGGAAAAAACGGGCAACTCTTGTGATTATTTCAATAAATTTTATTTTTATTTTGAAGAGGTTGAATTTGGCTCGCACTTTTCTGAAAAAAAAAAAATTATCAAGCCGCGGTCTGATGTGTAAATAAATAAGAATTGAGTGGTAGCCAATCTGTTACTTGTATGCTTTGTTCTGATGTAAATTCAATGTTTTTTTTTTTTTTGTGGTTAGAGGATATAGGGGCATTGATCATGAATTTAATGAATTTTGAAGTCCTTGTTCGTGGAAATTGCGCCTTCATATCCAGCTGAAAATCTTAGGGGCATTAATAATTTCAACATTTTATTTCTGCAAGAGATTTAAATTCATTATAATGAACTGGGTAGTTTTTCCTCTAATTTCCGTGCAATCTTGTTTTATTGGTGGTGTCTTTACTGGTTTTCATTAAGATTCAAAATCTCTTTCATGGAAGTTTTCGCCAACGTCTTTGTGAAAGAGCCTGTTATGCTAAAATCATGCATGATATCTTTATATACAAATAAACAAGAAATTATTTCATTTAATGATATTATGCTAGTTCGAAATCTCTTTCATGGAAGGTTAGGCCAAACTTTTTTTTTGACTGAAATACCTCTCAATGTTGTTTTATGTAAATTTCTAATTTTCTATTCTGCAGGTTTTTTTTTTTTCTCAATTCCCTTCTATCATCTTTCTATCAAAACTGCTCTGATTGGGAAACTGTTGAAGTTTGTGGGAAATATAAATGGACGGCGTATGACAGTCACGGGCGAGCGACGGAGTAGAAAACGGTACTACGCGCCGACTGACGGGCAAGTGATGGCATTGAGCTTTCACGGGTTGTTTGTTTCGAAAGGGATGATCGTGGATGGTTGAATTAGAAATTTTAAATCTTGAGTGGTGAGACTTATATTTGAAGTTTTGGTTGGTATGTTTGTGAAAACCCCAAAAAGAATTTATGAAAAAAAAAAGGATACTATTTCATTTCACCTTCATGTGATTATGAGACAACCAGTTGTATGATGTATTGTAACATTTCTATCCAAATTTTATTGGGGAATTTATATCAAGTAACCACACAATTCTTATCTATTTAAATCTCTAAATCTAAACTTTCATATTTACATTTATGACATTTTGGTGTCATAAAATTATGGATGAAAATGTGTGTTTCACTTTTTAAATGAAACAATAGTGATATTTTTTATGTGAATATAAATATTTGGATGTTGTATTTGTAGATATAGAAGTTTAGCTGTTAAATATGTAAATACATTAGAATTGTGTTGGTATGTATGTAAATGCCCCAATTTTGTTTGTGTTTAGCTTGCAGGTGGTCATGATATAAGAGATATGTAAATGCCCCAATTGTTGATAATCAAGCTTCTCTTTAGATTATTTAAGTACTCATATGTAATTTTATTATCATGAAAAAAAAAATCATTTAAATTATTGTTTTTCTTCTGGATAATTTTTATTATTTCTTTCATTTTATTTAGTGATAAATTTAAATAATTTTGATTCAGCCATGAATGAAATCTAAACATGTAATGGATATAAATACATTTGATTTAAATGATTTGCATGCAAATTTTCCTATTTATAATTAGACCGTTTGTATTTAAACTTTGGCTATTAAAAAATCTATGATAATTAAGATGCAAGAATGGTATGTATGTGACTTTTTGAATAATATTGAGTTGAAATCAATTTTATTTGGTTCAACTTTACTTTTTTATTTGATTTGTAAAAAAACTAGATTTGATTTACATTCATTTTTAAATTTGAGTGGTATGCATGTAAATATCAAAGTTCAGAAGTTAGAGTCCGTTTGGGGCAGCTTATTTGGTGCGGTGTCGTTTTGAAAACGCACCTGAGCTGTTTGGGTAAACTGTGTTTTGACAGGTTATGCGTTTTCAAAACACTAAAAACAGCATTTTCACACCGCACCTGTCTAGGTGCGGTGGCAGCTTTCTGGCTGTGGTTTGACTTTTCCAAAAAAATAAAAAATTGTAATAACTACCGCACCTAGCTTATTAGCAGATTATTTTTAATCAATTTATCAGCAGATTATTCAATAAGCTGCAGCTGCCCCAAACAAACCCTAAGGTGTTGACATATTTTAAAACAGCGGGACACATATCTTTTGTGAGTTATTACAACCTAGATGAGATCTGTGAACAAAGACTATGCTGGAAGAGGATGGGGGGTGTATGCTTAAGAGGTTCTCCTTCTATTCTTAAGAAGAAGGATCAAAAGAGAGTCGAGAGTGAATGAAGAGAGTAGGTAGATTGGTTGATGAAAGAAGGGGCCCCTTATCATGATTCCAAATAGCTTCTCCCCACTCTATTGGGTTACAAGAAAAGAATATTAAATAATGATACTACAACTCGAGCCCTGTCCACGAATACCGACAAAGGCGGCAATGTCGCGGATGCAAGGTGATCCACTAGTGGATGTAGATGTACGATTGATGTGACTGGTGGCACTTCGACAAATAAGACTAATGAATCACCATGGCAGTCAGCGATAGGTGAGGCCGAGGAATTGTCTTGGTAGGTCAACTTCAGATTTGCTTAATTTGGAAACAATTTTTTTTCAAGTGGTCAAGCTATTTGATAATCCTAATTTTTCTAGGTGGGGTGTAATGTGAAAAAATTTGGGAATTGGTGATGCTCTATATTGTGATAAAAGAATAATGTACTAAAAATAGACTTTCCTGTGCATGTAGCATTAACAGAGTGTATGTCAGCTGTAATTCTTGTTTCTTGGGTGGCTTGTCTTTGAAAGGCTCCTATAGTCTAGTAGGATCAATCTGGAGGATATGAAAAACCTTCACCCCTTTTCTCATATCAAAGTGTAATTGTAATTTGTAATTTGATTATTTCTTGTACTTATTTCTATGTAATTTACATGTAATGGCTAGAAATTAATTTTTAGAAGGGCAACGTGCTAATTTTACAGTTATATTTTATTAAGTTATTTTTTACTTTGCTTATAATTGTCGTATGAAAATTATTTTTTCTGCTCAATTTTTTGTTCGAGTAAATGAACCGTCTTTCTTTTCATTTTGCCATTATTATGCCAAGAATTAATTGAAAACCTATAACCGGTTCAGATTCACTTTCGTTCATTTTGGCGCATGCACTGAGGAGGATATAAGAGCTGTTCTTGATCTCATCTTAAGACAATTTATTTTTTTTTATCAAAAGAAGGCCTTAGGGACCTCGCGCTTGTAAGTTCATGTAGCTGAAAGGTGAGATCAAGGCACGCAACATAACAGTAGAGGAGCAAAACAAGAAGGCGGATGATGATTGCAAAGTGATAGCAAGACTAGAAAATAAAGTCTTCAAGTTGAAGAGGTAGGTAGAAGGCAAGCAGACAATAGTAGAATTCTATAAGTTACTCAAGAAGACTCCAACATATAAGCAATTGGTGGGGGAGAATTACAAGCAAACGATGAGTTCTTTTCTGAAGGTGGAGTACAAAAAACATGATTTAAGAATCCTCTATCTGGTATATTACACACAAACCCCCAAGAAAAGATACATGTATACCCAAAATGGAAAATAAAAGTCAGAAATCTTATAAATAAAATTTTGAAAATAATCGAGGAGAAAGTAGACCCAATAGTTATGTGTCCAGTAGTGTAGGGCTTCAATCATAGAAAAGAAAAACCATAAATATATAGTAAACTACCATGAATACAACCTCCAAAATGTTGGGTAACGGCGTGAATACCACCACGACAACAAGGAAATAACACCGACAGACAATGCGCTGGGAGGAGAGGGAATATACACGTGACTACCACCACAAAATGCAAGATACAACCTTCAAAAAGACCATCAAAATGTGGGGTAGCGCCCATAATAACACAATCATAACACGGGGGGGAGGGAGGGAATAAACCCATGAATACCACCACGAGAACGCAGGATACAACTTTCAATAACACCTTCAAATTGCGGGGTATCACGCTAAATAATACCATCAGAATGGGGGATACAGCTTTCGATAACACCAACATACTCTTAAAAAATACTACCACCAAAATGTCGGATACAAACATGAATAACACATGAAAATGCGATATAAACCCCCCAATAGCCCCATCCAACCACAAGAAATAACTATCACTAATACCAACAGACACGTCAGTAATACCACCCAAAAAGAGGATACTATCACAAATAACACCACAACTCGGGTTACAACCCTTAATAACACCAATATACTCATCAATAACACCATCAAATAAGAGGATACTACCATGAATAACACCATCAAAACGTGGGGTATAAGCACCAATGACACCTCCATACAACAAACATACAACCCCAGGTAGCACCACGAAAGCTAGCATCCTCCATGACGCCTCAAAAATAGTTGCTGGTAATGAAAATGCAAAGATTGAGAAGATGAGAGAGCTGCAAAGGTAAAGTGAAATCAAAGAAAACTAGGATTAAATTTTCCCAAAATTATATATTGTAAAACCATAAAGATAATAAAATAGAAGCAACGAGCCCATCCAATAGTTCTTGATGAAGTGGATTTAGCTTATAATGTAAGGAATGTTTAGAAGATCATTATCTAGTCAAAATTTGAGCCCACAAGGAGGAAATACACCGGCCTCCACGCCTAAATGACCCCTTTTTGCTAACCAATCAGCAGGTGAGTTCTCCTCTCTGTAAATAAAACTTCAAGTGATGTTAAGCATATGCAAATCAATATA